TTTTTTTTTTTTTTTTTTTTTTTTTTTACAACCATTATTCTTTCCTTACCAAGCATCAAAGAAAAGATTGCTGAATGTTGAAAGCTTCGTGTACTCATCTGATCAAGGCTGATAAAGCCATATATGTTTATGCTTTTATTTCCCTTCAAGGCATATTTCCTTGATGATACTCTGCGTCTGATTATCTGCCTACGAAAACATGCACATGCAGCAGGGGACAGTACATGGCCAGCTCTGCAGGAAGTCTGGCGAGAGGCATCTCGGGGTCAGTGTTTGGGGAAATTCATCCTTTTAATGTCAAAAGATGGGCCTGTAAGGGACTTAATGGACGTGCCGATCTACAGGAGGAGTGGGTGATTATGTCTAACTATGCTAACAGGATGCCAGCCTTAGCACATATTTGCAGTTCACTCTGTCTTATCAAAGAAGAGGGGTTTCTTTACATATCCCTTACCAGTGCAGTACACAAGTGCACCTGCCTATCCAAAATGAGGTGGAAAGTGTGGCTAACAAAATACAAGGACATTCTATGTTAACTTAAGAAACAGGCTGGCTAAGCTCACCAGATGAGCAAAGTGTTATGGAGACAAATCTTATTACTCACCTTTACGCAGGAATAAATGACTGAAACAAACACCACTGTGGTCAGGATCAAAAAACAGGTCAGGTAAAAACCCAGCATAAATGCAGAGCTGAAACCAGAAAAGGAGATTTAAACAGACAAAAAAATGACACCATATCAAACAGTTACAGCTTTGCTCTGGGCTCCGTGATGCTTGCGCAAAGTACGACATATCAAGGAGCTTTCTGCTTGGGATGGCGGGAGGGGGTAGGAGATGCCTCGAATACTGACAGACATCCTGTTCCCTTTTAAATTACGCACGCCGGCTGCCGACCAGAGAATGCTGCATGTCTCACAGGCACTGCCATCCTGCTGGGGTGACAGCAGAGAGACTGAGAAATACTTTATGTGCTAGAAGAGATGATGGAATAATTTGTTATACTGGGCCAGTCCCCAAGCTGGCAGCGGATAAGAGGCTCGAGGAAGGAAAGCTTGCTGGGCTTGAGAATTTAGCCATCTGCAGCCAAGCACATAAGAAATCTGCAGGGGAAACATCGTGCAGGTCACATTCATGGGCCCCACCCCAGCCCCTCATTCGCCTTGTTCATGAAGGGCTCAAAACTGGCTTCACTAATGAAGGAAAATGCAGAGAAAGCACCTGCTTCCAGCAAGGTTACTGAGACGTTCAGACCTTGTTTGATTCCCATGTAGAGCATCTGCTCTGCATTTCTTGTTGTGTCCTGCTAGCTCAGCCAAGGAATAGGACAGCGGCTACCATGCCACAACGATAATTCCTCAAAAAAGGAGCCTCAGTGATAGCAGTCTGCAGCACATCCCCTCTTCATTTTGATACCCCATTCCACGTAAACCTATTCCCACACGATTTTGTTGTCCTGATCGGTGATCTGTTTTGATCATGCGATTATCCAATAACGTGTTCATGGTTACTAGACTCGGTATGAAAGGACAGACCCCCCCTGGAACCTCTGCCTTGTTCCTAATTCAGTGGAGGTAATCTTACATGGTGACATTAAGGCTAGCTGTGCTGGATCCAGCTGGTGTCCATGTTCTCTCATGACTACAGAGGTAATTGTACTTGCTAATTTGCTGTTTGAGCTGCTGGAGCATTCATTAAGGCTATTCCTCTTTATTATCACAAGTTATCACTGCCATTTTGTCTCCAGTTGCAAATACAAATTCCACATTGCGTCACTGGTGAATGCGTTGTTGGTGACACCCAGGGGCACATGGCAACAGCTGCTCATTAACCGCTGTCTTCAGTAAAGACAACTATTATGCAATTAAAATATTAAGGCAAAAAGAATTAAAGTGCTTGTGCTTTGGGTTCTAATTTTGGGATGAATTTGATAGTTAACTGACTAAAGCCGACCTTCTCTACAAAGCTTGGCCAGTGGATTTCAATACTGACCTTCAATGCCTCTGTGATGCTACTCATCCTTAGATGACACGGTCCACATTTTTACTATGTGGACAAATGACCCCTACAAACTTGATTCTAGGAGGGCAGACAAGTTCAGTAACACTTGTGACCCAATTCACATATGAGCTTGGGTCTCCAGAGGCAGAAAGCTGTTGTACTAATCCAACACAACCTCCACTTTATAAGTCAGCTAGTATTCATGCACAGAGAATGACATGGCTCATTTATTGATCTAGGGAAGTGACATGTCCTCGTAAGGGTACCAGCAACTGGCACGCTATATTTTTTCCTGACACCCTTAGGACACCCCTCCTTCATACTGGAGATATGGAGAGAAAGCACAGAGTGGAAATGCCTCAAAAGCACCTGCCCCCTAAGAGACTTGGGCACTTTAAAGCCTAAAATCGCATGGATGTTATCATACACACAGGCTTTGGCACTCGAGAAGGACACACAGGGTTTTGCATGCACAAACCTACAGCCCAGAGTTTGAAGGGAAAAAAAACCACGCCAGTAGGATTTGCCACACCAAGATACACTAATTGCTTATGAAATCCAATTTCCTGACTCTGGCTATTTCTGGGGAAAATAAACAGTCCCCAGGATGCCATGTGCTGCTGAGATGTGCAAAAAACCCAGGAATCTCCCAAAAAATACAGAAAAAATATAATAAAATATTTTTGCCTATAAGAGAGAAGATCAGCATATATACACCACTGGCATTAATGTCACCGTGAACCTGCTCTGATTTCCATGCCTACCACAGAAGAAAGGCACTCGGCCATTATAATTGTCAAGGATCTAGAAGTTGTCAGCTTGTTTTATTTCAATGCTTAACTGGCTTTAATTAAATAGCCTGGTGGTTGCTCAGTGTGTCTGATGGGTGACCTGAAGCCTTTTAGAGGACCTCTCTCACAAAGATGCAAACTCAGGGCAGTAATGTCAGATCAAATGATCTAAAGTCTAAACGTGTGGAAGGCAAACCTACAGAGAGTTTCAGCAATTGCTAAACAAGTGCTGGGATTGACCTAATTTCAATTTTGAGCTCTGTTGGCTTCTCTTCCGATCGCCCCAAGCGGATCTGTCTTTTCCTAAACTATTTCTGTGGCTGCTGTTTTGCTGAATCTACCATTCCTTGAGCAACGGCGATCATCCTTTCGCCTGGGAGAAAGAATGACCTCAAACATCATATCACATATTGTTTCTGTGTCCTACTGACTATGCAGCCTGATGGGCACAACCCACAGTCTCTTTTCTAGGAAGGAGGGTGGTGTGAGCAAAACAGGAAGCAGTTGTGTGGACACACGCTGTTCTTGTGTCTTCCTGAAAGGAAAATTGTTGCCTTTTTAAAATGGAGGAAGATAAACTTGGAGCGTTTGTCAAACTTCCATTATAATGTCCTCAAGATTAAAAGTGAGGGGTTCCAAACTTACCTAGGAGCACTGCCTATTTCTGGGTACACAGTTAATATCATTGTCATTGAACCAGACCTTTGGAAAAATACAGGTGTACTTTAATTAAAATGAGTGTTTTGTAAAGGTTTTTTTTTTTGAACAAGCCCCATGGGATAGATGGGCCTATTACAGGTCTCAGCAAAGGAGGATGAGTAAGCTGCACTGGTCCAGAAGATGCTGTGCCACAGATGACCCTCTTCCAGTCAATTAAAAGAAGGACAGGAGGGGAACTGTGCTTTCCAGTGGTACTAAATTACCACAGCCCTTAAAAATATGGAGGTTAATTACCTCTTGGGGCCCACACAATGTTACTTTCTGCCTTTCCTGTCTCATAGCTTGCCAGTACCCAGAGACTCAGGGTAGAAATAGGTATCGTCTTTCACCACCTTTGCATCGCCATCAAATTTTTTATGGCAGTACAAAGTGAAAGCAAATAGGTGTCCATGCCCTTTATCGTGCCACAATGTGGCTGCAGCAAAGGTAGTAATTTGTGATGTTTTATTAGAACAAATGTCTGTTTGCTTTACATTGGGAGAGCACATACAGCCAAGAGCTGCCCTCATTCTCTAAATGCCCCCAGCCGGTGCTCACCAGGCTTGAGGAGCTTGGTCCTGTGTGCCCCGGGAATTCATGCACAGGATCAGGCCCATCAAGCCTGGGGACTGCTTGCCCTGTTTACCTGCTTCCAGAGACGCACCCCAGAGATTGCCAGGGGTGTCCTGAAGCAGGGAAGACAATGCTTCTTCTCCTGCAAGATCAATGGGTGGGACAACAGGCTTACCTAATGAAGCAACTCAGCTGCGCTGGGGCACATCCTGGACACAGCTGATCTGCTTCAGCTGGCCATGTTAATTTGTAGTCTAAGTATCATGCTCTGCACCTGACACCAAGATCCAAGCAGAATGAACAAGAAGCTGTGATGGACTGCCTTCCTCCCCTACTTGGTTATGGTAAACCATGGCCCAAGCTCGCCTGCATTCTGAAAAGCCGGCTGCCTCAATATGCAGCTGTTCCCATTTTAGCGATTTTCTTTTCCTGACTAATTATAAATGCACTACGCCAAGTTTCTCAACCCAGAGGTAAACATTCAGAGAAGTCATGCTGGCAAAACAAAACCCCTTGTGTGCCAAAGCCAAGGTTAACATGCTATAGCCAGAAATGAATGCACTCAACAAGCATTTCACATCACTTAAGCAGGAATTATTTAGAGAGTTTGCCTCCCTCTGGTGCACTGCAGCCTTGAGGAAAGAAAAAAACAAATGCCAGAGTACAGAAATAGCAAGGAAAGATCTACTCACTGTGGCACGATTGTGATCTGAACAAAGCAGATGAAGAGGAAGACTAAGGAGGCACAAGCCACATAGGCTCCGAATCTGTCATCCACCTGCTTGGAATACTGTTAGGAGAAGAACAGGTTTTAATAAGCATAGCAAAGACTTAGCACCAGCCTGCTCCTCCCCCAAACAAATACCCGACTCAGTGCCCCCCCCAGAGCTACCAACTAGTATTGGAGATGGGCAAAAATTTCCCTTCTTTCCTAGCAAGTCTGTAGAGCCACACAAGCCCCGAGGGTCCTTGGATGACCCCAAGCAGATGGGAGCATGATTTATATTCTGCCCCTTCCAGGGTACACATGAAAATAAGACTGAGAACACTGGTCCAGATTCAACTGAACTCTTTTTCATCATTGCTTTCCTCCCATGGGATAAACACACTGCTAGTGAGTCCTGTGAGAAAAACTGGACTTGTGTTATCCAAATTGTGCGCACGCTGCTGGTCCTAAAGCACGTGCAAGGACATGGCTGCACTGTTTTGATGACTGCGCAGCTACTGAAGGCACCTGATCTCCAACTGCAGCTCTTAAACCGAGGAAACACTCAGGCCCTTTGAACAGGTGAACTGCTAATTTCCCTTAAATAATAAAATGAAAGGGGGAGGGGAAACTGCCTGCTCATTTTTAATTTAAGCCTAATCTGACACACTTAGAATTTAAAGCATACTGTAATTACTGCAAAGGCCTCCTGCTTTTTAACCAGGGTGTTTGTTTCATCCACTTTCTATGATACCCACATTATTTCTAAGCATAGTGATAAAACAGGTAAGCTCAGCCTAACCTGACCAACGCTAGATTTATAGATCTGGCTTCTCCAATTAAAAATGTGCCTTGCCTTTTTATCACCAGAGTCAGGGTTTATGCTCAAGATAGCCCCAGTTGCCCCAGAAACCACATTATTTAAAATAAAAAAAAGGCAGAGCTGAATTTTTCCCTAGGAAGGATAAAACCGTACTTCCTCATACAGTTCCCATCATTGGAATACCTAGGGGTCAGATTCTATTGCACCTATTGGGCATACAGGCAGGCCCCAAAATCCAGTCTTGTGGTACACCCTCATGTTACACTTGAGACCAAGTCACAAAAAAGCAGGGAGGAGGGCAATAACCTGACTTTGTTCTGTTTTAACCATTTTTAAGGCATTTGAGCAGGGTGGAATAGAATCATCTCTGGTTGCCCAAGTCCACTTACATGGTTAACAGGTGGAATAGAGTTCGCTTCAAATTTGGAATGAGCTCATGCACAGCCCCCAATGACATACTGCCACTTATCCTACAGATAAGGCAACTCAAAGGGCAAAGAGGTTTGCCTCTGATGGTACCGGCTGTCTGGGACACTCAGGAAACAAACCCAGATCTTTTGAGTCACAGCCCCATGCCTTAGCTACAAGATCATTCTTCCTCTCCTAAAATGTTAGGCAAGAATGATGAAGAGCTGGATACAGCCAGGGGCACATGAAGGTGGGGTGCAGTTGTACGCCTCTCCTGTGTATAGTCCAGTGATGTTTCCATCCCCCAGGCCAGCGTGAGCCACCCAAGAGGGAAGGAAGGAAGGACCAGCCACTGCTGCTGCCACTGTCCCTGCCCGAGCCCAGCTCCTGTCCAGTTGCTCCCCATGGCTGGCTCCCTGGAAAAGCGGTGCAGAAAGGCGAGGACCTGCTCACTACCACCACCACCTTCTCTGGCTGACTTGGATGCAGGGGGAGCCCCAGGATTGCTCCTGCCTCACTGCAGCTGGGGACTGTGAGGAGCGGCAGCATGGGGTGCTAGGCTCAGCTAGAGAGAGCAACAGTGGTGGCAGGGAGGTCCCCCCTCCCTGTGCCTGTTCCCTGCCCCCTCCTCTTCCCCTGTAACCTCACAGGTCTGAAGGCTCCAGGTGCACTTGGCCTCATCCCCCCCAACCCCCATGGTAGAGATGCATCCACCTTTTTAAAATGCTAGATCTGCCTGTGAGCAGAGCTACACAGTGCCAGGTGGTACCAGGCACAGGTAACTGACCTGGCTCTGTATGTGCTAGGTCCTGAACTGGCAACAACATAATTACATGTGTCCAGAGCACATAGCTCTGCTGGGAAGCCTCATACACAGACTCCTTGAGTGTTATCCTGGACAGGCCTTGCAAAACTCAGAAGAGCATTCTGGTTTCATTCTGCACTTCAACCTTTCTGTAAAAACAGACCCTTTTTGTGAGAGAAAAAGAGAAATGGCCTGGCATGCATTTCTACCATGCATCTCCTTCAGCTGATCCCTGCTGCATTACAGGAGACTCAGCAGAAGTTAAGATTTCTTTAGAGTTAATGCGATGGGCACATAAGAGTCCTACCATCAGAAACTTAATTTAAAGCCAGGAAGTTAAGTTTGATCTTAAAAAGAACAATAAGAGGAGTGGCAGTCACTTTGTGGTCTCTCGCAGTAGTACTTGCAGGACATTACCTTCTTCTCTAAGTCAGGCTCCCTGAATGTTAGGAGGAATTTGCGCACGTGCTCAGAGCGTAACCGATCAATACTTCTGGCATCAATTGCACGGCCCAGAAACTCATCCACCTCATCTTCGGGGTTCATGCTTTCCTGGGTATTCCTGAGCAAGTCACAAACATGGAAAAGGGTGAGAACTTGATGTTTTCCCCACCAATGTGATCCAAACAATTATTTCACTCTATGCTCTTTACTTCTTAATATCTCAGCTAGACATAAACTGACAATTTGGAGCTATTCATCTAATGATCTGGAACTGCTTGCAACCCTGAGCCATCCATCCCCATCAATCAGGATATTTAATCTAGTGTCCTTTCTTCAGACCACCTCCAACATCAAGTTGTTAGCTCCCCCATGTATCAGCCTCTAAAACCAAACTAGATTTTCCTTCCCTTATTCTTCCACTTAATTCTTTCCTATAATTCAGTACTGTTGTTTGTAATTTGCTGAGCTTGCCAAAAATTACTCTCTACACCCTTTTCTTTATTGAATTTTTTTGTTGAACTTTCAAAATTTGGAAAAAATCTCCAGTTTTGATCTTCCGAACTGGTTTCAGTAACAATTAAAGATAACAGGCCCAATTTCCCTCTGTGTTATTTCAGAGCTGTGCTCAAAATAAATAGATATCAACTTTTACTAATCTCTTTCTACCTTTAAGGTAGGAAAAATGATAAAATACAAGGCAATGTGGGAGCAAAACCTAATTTCCAAATACATAAAGGAAGATCTTCAAACAGCTAGTGGATTTTTGATACCATAATTTTTTGAGGCCCAACTAGAGCCTTCTTAAATGGACATCAACTTCAATTAGTGCTAAAAACCAACAAAAGTGCTATAAGCCCAGCCCTCTTAATAGGGTCTCAAATTAAGCATCCAAAAATCACAATTTATTTTAAAATCAGTGTCACATGACTTCTTTCTGGTCTGTATTTAACTAATAAATGGCAGAAATTGAAAGCTAACACTGAAATGTTGTTATTCTGCTTCCTTTCCATCATGCCCAACTACATGTACTTCATAGTAGATCATAAGACAATATGATCCCCACCTTCAAGTGTGATCCCAATCAATATAAGGCAACAACACAGTGATGCCACAACCTGCATTATGGGAAATCAGCCATTGTTCAAGGACCTCCAAGAACAAAATAAAGCACAGTGGGAAACATGAGAAGTGCTGTTGCAGACAGAGTTATATGGAAAATGATATCCATTTAAGAGGCTCTAGTTGGGCCTCAAAACATTATCATACCAAAAATCCACTAGCTGTTTGAAGAGCTGTATAACAGGATCATGCAGACAACTAACATCAGTTGTAACATGCCTATCACTGAAAGGCTTTTATAGGCACGAGTGTTGCACACACAAGCTACTCAAATTTTTAAGGCTGGCCAAAATGGGATCAATATCACTGTTCTTAAAAATAATAATAATAATGCTCCTAATGACTTGCACTGAAAGATGCTTCACTAGCTTTTAGCTTTTTTTTTCAGAAGTGTTAAGCACCCACAACTTCTGTTTCACTCAGTGGGACCTGTACACATCTGACCAAGAAAAGAAAAAAATCAGGTTTTGCTGCAGTACGACACACTGCTCGTCATTCCAACTCCAGCCAAAGGAAGCGATACCAATATATACTAGCAACATATTAGAACAGCAAAATATTACGTTTCAATAAGTGTATGGGAGCGGAGTAGGGCTGCTTTATTTTTTGGCTGCTGAGGTTACTCCATCAACATATATTCCACTTCTGAAACAAAATTTAGTTTTCCCCTCGGAGGAAAGGAAATTTAATTTACTTCTAGATGTTTGTTTTAAAGAAACCACATCTGCTCAAATATACAAAAAGCCATTGCTTATTTTCATCCAGTCCTCATAATCCCGTCCTCCAGACTCATTAAATGAGCAAGGAAATTGCTAGTTTTCGTATTTATAGAATGCGATCCAAGTTCCTGCTGGTTATTTATACATTTGGACCATTTAAATTTAGCCGTTTTATATCACACAGGGGATAAGTAAAATCCTTCTCCAAGAACCCCAGGTAAAGACATCATCGTCGTCTGTATGAGCTTCAGCTGGCATCATAGTTTCGGTACAACAGCACAGCATGGGAGGAAATGGAGGAACTCTCTGCAGCTCTTGACCACAGCTGGCTGTTTTAGGATCAGTGAGGGGGTCGTTCCACCTCTAACGAGAGTGTGTTTACACTGTAGTCACTGCTGTGTCTGCAGCTCGTGCAGACATACTTATAGCTGGCTTAGGTACTGAATGAAGTCCATTCTCAGTAGCGTGGAGCTCAGCACCGGATACTCACCTAGGCATTTGTCCAGTTCATGGATTGTTTCTGAAGCCTGTGCCGAGTTCCACGCTGCTGCAATTACATTGCTGGCAGTATGTAAGCAAGCTAATTTAAAGCAAGATCCAGTCTGTCCATAGTAATCCCTTACTCTGAAGATAGATTCTCCTGGAATTCATATTTATTTTTCTGACTTTCCTAAGCACTTAGTTGCATCAAATGCTTAAACTCAGAGTTCCTTGTGGGGTTTACCTCTCCTGTTCCTGTTCTCTGGACCGCGGCCCTGCAAGAAGCACTGTTGGGGCAGTTCCATGATCTGGTGGGACAGGGTATAAACCTGTTTATATTCTGGCACAGGAAGAGTCACCAGAAATGCACAAGCATGCCCTTCCTGGACCTTCCTGAACCACCTGTCACCTTCCAGTTTGGTTTTAAAATTTACTTTTATATTCAAAACTATCAGAATCACAATGCTCACAAGCACAGTGGTATTTTTTAAATTTAGTGGAAAAGAAAGCTTGGATCCTTCTAAAAGAAACTTTGTGAAAAAAAAACTTATTCCAGAAAATGGTTTCAAAATCATGCCTCTTCACCCTGATTCAAGGCAGAAAAATTTTGAAACTCAAAGTTTTTCCACTAGACAGAAAATGCATTTTCCACCCATATCTAGCAAAAAGCTCGTTACAGCTAATATGATCTCAGGCAGTAGTCCTCAGAGACTATAAAACCAAAACAAGCAAAGGGATTTTCAGTCAGAACACTAAATTGGAATAAAAAGAAAGACCATACTTGTTTGAGGGCAAAGTTCATAGTCAAAAAACCCATCCTTCAAAAATCTTTAAAGTCATTGTACACTGGCACATGAACCTGTGTGAACTGGAAAATTTTGAATAAATCTCTCAGCTGAATGACATGCCAGATGAACGTGACAACAGTGCTCTTTTCTCGCAAATTTATTGACACTACATTCTCGTTACTACATTCTTCCAGTAATGGTTCAACATCATTAAACGTCTTTTATATGTAAATTTTGTTCTTGGTACATGTTCAGAAACAACAGCAGCAGCACAGGAATCTTTGGGGACAGGGCAGAGAAAACATTTCTATTACAGACTTGGTAGAATTGCAGAGACTAAATAAATGTTTTGTTGGCAGGGTTGGTCCTTAGTTCATATGAGCCAACATTGTCAGAAATGGCCTGTGATTTTGATTGCGATGTTTGCGGCTGTTCAACTTGGAGGCACCATAAAAAGGTCTGGTTTTCAGAAATGGGATTCTCCACTGTTCCCCTTACTTTTGCTCAAGAGGGGAAGAATTGAAAATCAGGCTCCACTGGCGAAGATTTTGACCTCGATCCTGTGGACTGTGATATTCTCAGGGCTGAAGAAATCTGAACCATGGCCTAGGAGGGTCAGCGCAAAACTCAGAACCCGAACCCCACGGCTCTAAAATTAACTGACAACATCCCTTTGGGCAATGTCTCTGCCTCAGATCCCCTGCTTGTAAAAAGGGTCTTTCCTCATTACTTGGTAGGGCTGAATATTCCTTGGGTATCCTGGAAGGGCAGATTTCACCAATCCTAAGTCACCACAGACAGGCAGCATTCATTTATATCTCAGTGAACAAACACGTATTCACAAGTGTCCTATTCTACCATTGCCTCACTTGGGAACTAAACTTAGTATCAGCAAAGAAGCATCGATTTGTTTCCTAGCCAACCTGCTCCCCTTCACTACTCACGACAAATTGTTTGATTGAAACAAGCTCTAGGAAAGAAAAAAAAATCTAAATATTTTTTTTATAGCTCTGCTCCACAGCTGAGTTTCTTCTGATTGAGCTTCCGCATCCCATAACAGAACGACAAGACGCTGCTGCTGCTTTTGCTGGCTGGGCAACCTGGGCCAGGGATGCCCTATGAGACCAAGGACTGCACCGCACGGAGGCAACAAGTGGTCTGCCTCAGGGGTCTTCTATTTTATTTCTGCGGCCTTGAGGATCTCTTCTTGTTCTCCCACAGTTCCTACCCTCTCACTTTACCTAAGCTGAACTATACTGACCCCACTCTCTTTCAAGCCCTTCTCTAGAATTCCTTAAATGGTAAAGCAGAAATATTACGATCGTGGTTACTGCTCAAGATTTTTCATGCAAGGGCCCTGATTAAGAGGGTCCATGTGTACCAGTACCATCTAGAGCTGGCTCTGCCACTGGCACTCATTAATTCCCTGGCCAGCCCTCTCAATAGAGATGCTCAGAAACAGGATGTTCTTGGAGGGCCACCAACCCTCACGTCCCCGAAGGGCATCCCTGCAGAGCAGCCGCTGCATCTGATCAGTGAAGACAACCGGGGACTCTAGGCCCCGGAGCTGGGTCATTTACCTAAAGCATTAGTTTCATTTGGAGGAGGAAGGGGAGGAATCTAGAACCAGCAAGATTTTATGACAAACATAAAATGTGCTTACTTGTCCTTGGGATCTTCAAAACCCTGAAAGAAAGCAAAATGAGATGTAACAGTTAGGAAAAAATGGCCTTGGGCACAGAGGAGAATTGTAAAAGATGGCAATTCACAGAGGAGCTTTCACAGTATTCATTTGCTACATGCTGATGGAGAGCCTTGCCGAGCCAATGCAATACTCCATGTCCATATAACATTAAATCAGAGAGACTGAGCAGAACAGTTTTATATAAATAAGTGGCCTTGAGATAAATATGTGGAAATGAAAGGAATAGCTTCTGCCCCTTCAGTTGACTTCTGTCATGCATTATTTGCCGTGACTTTACAAACAGGTGACGGATACAAGTGATGCAATAGAAAACTACTGACCATGTGTACCGGAGGCAAAATTCAACTCGACAGCAGTCAATGGACATGCATCTACCCCCAGACAAGTCTGAGCTCAGCTCATGCCTGCCTTCAACCACAAGGGAGCATATTTACATGTCCATTTCTTCCTCAATATTTAGCAAGTCTTTGTTCCGAATGCATTTGGTTTCTTAGAGCCATTTCTTCTTGTAGCCCCAAGGTTTCAGACATGCTCAAGATTTAGCCGAATTCACACAGATTCTCAGAAGTTTAGGGCTGGAAGGGACCGCATGAGATCACTGGGTCCAGCCCCCTTGCTCTGGGCAGGAAAGACTAGTGGAGCTGAGTTAAGCCAGGTCTTGTGACATTTCCATTCTTCTCACCTTGCCAAGTATTTTATGCAACCAAAGTTTCTACAACAATCACAAGCCATGGGAAAAGGTCAGGTCAGATTTTAACAAGGTATTTAGGTGCCTAATTTCCACCGACTTCAATGGGAACCTAGCAGATAGCTGCTATTAGAAATGTGCTCTTGGATGAGGATTCAGGTAACCCAGCTCTGCCCTGTTTTGAATCCCGCTCTTCTATTCCCACAAGAAAAAACACATTTTTACCAGTGCAGATGTGGCAGTTCCTTGGATTTTGGCTTTAATTTAAAATTCAACGTTTCCTTCAGGGTCATTTGAGTTTATTGAATAAAGTGTTCATGCATTTACAAAATCAACATGACTTGAGGGTGATCCAAAAGGTCCCCGAAGGGAAAACCCCCCACTCATTTACACACAGTTTGAAGTGTTTATTAACACAGGTGATAGATCAAATGGCTCCATAAATACAGGCTTGATATAAATTGAACAAAAATCTGCCTCCAGCCCTAACTGAAGTCAACAGAAACTGGGCCTATATACAAGGGACAAAGATTTGTACATTGTATTAAACGTTTCTAGGAAGCATAGTTAAGACAGATGCAGGGTTTCTATGTTTTCCCTTCTCAATTGCTCCAGATCTCACTTCACTTTGCAAGTAAAATGATGCTGTTCCAGCTGCTAGAACGACAATCTCTGCCTGAATGCAAAGAATTAACATGGGTCCATTCCTGACTGTGCATTATCATAAGTAATGCAATCTGTTGGCTAAATTTTACCCCAGCTGCACTTACTTAATGTCATTGGAGACAATGACATTGTCCAGTTCTTAGCAAGGGGAGAATCTGGCCTTGCATCAATAATTTAACAATCTGGTGATACTGCGAACGGCAGAACAGAATCTAGAACACTTACTGAGCCACATAAAAAGGAGAAAAGTGTGTGTTTGTCACACAAGTCACCAGGCACAACCATTTGGTCTACTGCAGTGGTTGTCAATCTGCAGTCCGTGGACCCCTTGGGGTCCAGTATCTAAGGGGTCTCTGATCAACCAAAAGTGTCTGAATACCCACGCTTACAATTCAAAGGGGTTTGCACCTCCATTCAAAATTTGTGAGAGGTCCACAAATGAAAAAAGGTTGAAAACCACTGGGTCCACTGCATAAGAAAGGATAATTTCTACACAGCTACTTTCAGATTAATGCCTCGCTTTAAAATAGAAACCTGCAGCTTTGACACAACCATTCAGGAATGCAGATAAAGAACCTCTTGTTCCCATGCACTTCACTGCTAACCACCAGCAGATTAATTTCGAGTGGAAAGAAAGGTACAATAATGATTTAAAACTAGTACATCCAGTTAACCAAGCCAAAGGATACTGCATGTGCTTTTGATTTAATGTTAACTAGAGACTCAAACATCACTCAAATTTGTTTTGCTTAAATCATTTGACAGCTGTCAAAGTCACTGGAAGGTTTTTTGTTTCTTGGTTTTGTTTTTAACCCTCTGAGCGATTCCACAACACGCCAGAAGTAACAGCGCACTGATTAATCACGTAGAAAAAATGCTCGCTAATTTGTCTGGTGTCACAACCAGTTGTGTTAGAAGGAAAAAAAAATCTTTATGTGAATACCTTTCATCCAGCCAACGGGGGGTGGAGAAAATGTGAAAATACAGGCAAGGACCTTGCTTGCTGGATGTCCAGCTTGGGTTTTCAAAACGAAGTATACAAGTACTAGACCACTCTAGGTTCAGACAACCTGATTTTCAAGGGCCACAGAACATCCACGGCTCGCACTGAAATCCTGACCCTAACAATTCATTGTGAATTAGAATTAGACACCCATTTCAGAGCGGCGCAGTGCCAGCGCTCTCAAAAATGAGTGCACCTGACTCTTCACGAGTGTGAAAAGTCAGATAAACTTTTCACAGGTGAGCATATTTGGCAGTTTTGATTGTGCTCAGATTCCGCCCGCCCTGCCCCCACAAGCAAGCCCACATTTGAAAATTTAGCCCTAAAATTATGTATAAATATAGTTCATACAAGTTACCTATTTAAAATGCTAAAAAAACCCAACCCTTTTCTAGAAACACAGGAAATGTTTACTGAGAGACCTCCATGCTTGCAGTCCAATTTATCCTGGTTGCCCAAAATGAAAAAATATATTTTTGCTCTCTGATACATATATTATCCTCATTTTCTTTTATGGCTCTTCACCTAATGCAATTAAATACTTAAGTCCGACTTGAACTTTAATGAAACGGAAGCAGCTTAAAATTAAATTTAGTGGAAAACTCTTTAGCTAAGCAAATTAAATGATTCACTTCAAAACATTCCCATTTCAGATGAACCATTGTTTTCTTATTATGTAAAAGAGTCTGTAGGCTAGTTTAAAGTATCCAAGAGTCAATTATAAGAAATCTTCCTTATTTGCAGAAAAGCACTTCTTTGGGATACTGAAAGTAAGGTTTAGGGATTTGACTCCAACTATCTTAGAGTAGCTTCCCCTAAACACATCCTCAAGTAGATCCTCTCCAACCACTTAGCAGAAGAGCACGATGTTTGCAATCTGCCATACGCTCTACACATTTATTTCGGTCTCAGGGTACATATATTTGTATTGCACCCAACAAAAGAAATTGCATGTCTTTCAGGGCTACTCTCAAATAAACAGAGGCAGGAAGTATATATTTAATGATAAAGAGGTGCAGCTTAGTTAGTAGGATCTTCTGGGCAGATTTCGCTTTAATCAATGCCCTTCAATTGACTGGATGTGAGCAGTGGTGACAATAACATCTCTCCTATCCTCTGATGGCAACCCACTATAGTTTGTTTGCTTCTCAAGGACTGAAATGCTCTGGTTTAAACAGAAGTCAAGATCGGCTAGCTGAGAGAATTTAAAGGTCTGGCTCATACTCCAGGACAGACTAAATGATCTCAGGGTCCCTTCTAGCCTTAACCACTGTAAAATCTATCTGAACATTATAAATCACAATACTGGCAGCCAGCAAGTGACATGTATTCCTCAGTTTTTCCACTACGGTTATTGTCATAACATCTGTGCATCTCGGATGCAAGTTCCATATTTCTTAACTCTTTACACGCAGGACTGCTGGAAGGCACCAATCCAGATCAGGTCTCCTACTGGATTAAAATCACAGAAAAGTAGGGCTAGAAGGGGCAAAAGGCAGGATCATCCCTATCTAAACTATCACATACAAAATCTTTGTCTAACCTATTAGCGAAACTACATTTAACCCTGTTACACAACCAAAAGACGTAGCACACTGACCTGCCACAGGTGATGGTGATGAAGCGAGTGTCGCCACACTCATGTCAGAGGCACAAGGGCGAGAAAGCCAGCGACAAGTTGAAGGGTCAAGGTCAAACTGATTCATGTCTCCTGTGCAGTGTTTTAAACCCTGTTTTAAATATTCCCAGTGCTGGAGTGTCTACCAATTCCCACAGAAGACTACATTATTGCACTAACTGTAATTGTATAATAAAAAAATTTGATAACTATTCTAAAACTAAAAATATTTTATTACTTGATTCCAGGACTACTAACCTATGTCTAGCTGAACTGGCAGCAAAACCCCAAAACAATAGTTCTTAATAGCAGAAGGATTAGAAGATCTAAGAGGTCTGTCTTTACTTTTACATCTGCATGATCCTAGACACTTAAGATATTACAATATACTTTTATGAAGTGACATGGCTTTGGATTCGCAAGCAGTTATTTTATATAATAGACCTTGGAAGAAACTAAAGTGCGAGAGAGAAAGAACAAATTAGTATTACTCCCTAAAAATGTTCATGGCATAAGATGTACTAACAGTTTATCCAAGGACATCACAAGATATGTCTGGATAGTTATCCCAGGATTGCATCACTGAATCAATGACAGGAAAGCAGCAGTGCATCAGACGTTCCCTTAACCCTGATTAGAGGGGTGATGTGTGCTCTTGCCAATCCCAGAATATTTCTGGTTTGGGACAAATGCAGATACTACTCACCCAGGAACAAATGCAACATCTGTTCCTAGCCTCTGTTCCAAAATTTTATTTTCTTAGATGGATTTCTATGAATACCTATTGCTTTAGCATGGGGGGGGCAATTATTTTGGGTGGGGGGCCGCTTCCTGAGTTTTGGTAAGCCATCGAGGGCCACATGACAGGTAGCCAGGGGCAGTTAAATATTAATTTTCTAAATTTTTTAGGGTCCCTGCAGGCCAGATAGAATGGCCTGGTGGGCCACACCCAGCCCGCAGGCCACATTTTGCCCACCCATGGTCTAGCTGCTTTTAAGAATGGCAG